CCCCGCTCCTTCCACTCTCTCCCACCAAGGGGTGGAGGTTGCAGCCTGTGTGGGAGCCAGGATTCCTGGGCTCTGCCCTCGCCAGGCACCCCTTCCCTCACCAGGCGCCCCCTCCCTCGCCAGGCCTGCTTTTCCAGGGGCTTGTCCCCTGGCTTCCCCTGATGAGGGTGCTTTCATGAGGATGACTCAGAGCAGCAAAAGCTGAAGCCGCACCCCCGGGCCAGGCCACCCATTGCCTGGTGGGACCTTGCTCCAGCCCTGGACATGACAAGGGAGGGAGATACTATCCTCCCTGTCACATGGGGAAGGAAAACAAGGAACAGATCCTGGAGGGAACCAACTGTCAGTCAGGGACAGGGACGGGGACAGGACCACCCCTCAGTCCCAGGACAGGGATCTGCCCCAGAGCGGGGGAAGCATAGGTGGTCACTGTCAGGGGCCAGGCAGGGACACTGATGGGGAGCTGGGGTGGAACTGGAGTCCTCAGCTAGCAGCCCTCGCTGCTTTGGTGTGTGAACCCATGTGTGTGTCTCTGTATGTCTGTGATGACATCTGTCCCACCCCCAGACACCCTTCTCAGATAGAGCCCCAAATGTGAAATCACCCACAGTGTCTTCTTGGCCTTCTCCATGCCCGCCGTGCCTCCCTCCCCACACAGAGGGAAGTCCTGGGGTGGGGTCTGAAGGGCAAGCAGTCTTGGTTCCGAGGCTGCCAAGCCCAGAGTTGGCACAGAGGGGGTGCCAGACCATGACTGAAGAATACAGGGACAGATGGAACATGTGAGGTTTTCTCTCTCTCCTTCCCTGACATTTCCCATGAAGGAGCAGAGGGCGATTACAGTCAACCCCCACCCTAGGAGGCAGTCCTGTCTCCGCTGTACAGACTGGGATGTCATGGGTCTGGGTTCTGAAGGGGGCAGCTGAGCTGCCCTTGGGAGCCCTGGGCTTCAGCCTCCTCTGCCAAGGCAGGGATGGGCAGGCAGGATGTGTAGGGCGCCCCACCCCTGCCAGTACCCCTAGGTGCGTTCACCCCCTCCCCTACCGAAGATCCTCACCACCTCCCTCTACCAGCAACAGAATAGGTTCTACATTTCCGTGAAGACCGGCTACACCATCGGCTACGGCCTGTCCCTCACCACCCTTCTGGTCGCCATGGCCATCTTGAGCCTGTTCAGGTAAGGTCCAGCCTCCTCTGTCCTAGCCTGGTCCCCACAGGATGGCTTTGCACCTGGGGATAAGGGACCGGAGGGCAGGGCCTCTGCTCTGGACTGAGACACCTGGAGGCTGAGGCACTTGGAGGCCCAGCTGCACACGGTCGGTTGGTCGGTCAGTCGGGGAAGGGATGCCTGGGACAGGGCCCCCGTTTGGGGCAGGACCAGCACTTGGGCCATGTGTTCCTTCCTCCGTACCCTTGCTCAGAACACTGACAGTGTTGGGTGGGGGTCCGAGGCCCCTTCGGCCTCCCAGCTCTGCCCACGTCACACAGGAAACTCCACTGCACACGGAACTACATCCACATGCACCTCTTCATGTCCTTCATCCTGAGGGCAGCCTCCGTCTTCATCAAGGACCTGATCCTCTTCAACAGCAGCCCGTCAGAAGACTGCTCCGAGTCCTGGGTGAGGACCTGACCACTGCCCTGTCTCTTCCCCCTTCTCTCTCTCTCTCTCTCTCTCTCTCTCTCTCTCTCTCTCTCCTTTCTCCTCTTTTTCTCTCCATGGATGGCCAACCCCCTGGCAGCTTGTTGAATCTCCCCACAATGGGAGATGGTTCCCAGCCATCTGGGGGCTTCGAAGACCTGCCCCCACCAATGAGAAACGTCTCTCCTTGATGGGAAATAAACTTCATGGCCAGAGCCCACAGCTGCCGTCTCACATCTGTCCTAACTCCCCATGTGACTTTAGGAAACTCCCTGCCTCAGTTCCCCCATCTGTACAAGGACTTCCAAGCTTGCTTCCAGCTCTACCCTCTGCCATTGGCAAACCTGGGCTCTGCTCACCACGCCACCCTTCCTACACCCCCTTTCCACGTGGAGCCAGTCCAGACACACACAGCCCCCCTCTCCTGTGCTCCCCGCCATCAGTAAGTCCGGGGGCTTCCTCGAGAAGAGAAATTAACAGAGCGTCTAAGAATGCATCTCTGTCACTGAGGGGTCCATCTGCAGGTGATTCTGAGCTCAGGAGTGTCCTCGCGCTGGGACAGAGAGCTGGAGACCAGCCCCGCTCCCACCCCTGCCCCAACTCCATAAGTGATGGCAGACACCGTGCATGGTTTCAGGGGAGAGCAGTACCTTCTCCCCAGAGTTCATCTGTGCCCGTGGAATCTCAGGCATCTCGACAAGGGGAAGGAAAAGCCCAGGGGAGCCACCCTGGCTATTCCCAGAGCTCCTCAGAGGACCCAGACATATGCAGTGTCAGTGCAGAGCCTGGGGAGCCGCCTGCAGCCGCCAGCTCACTGGTTAAGGGTAATTGTGGAGCCTGGCTTCCCGACTCATTAGCAGCTCCGTGAAGCTTTTCAAAGGCTAGACAAACACACATAAATGGTCCTATTAAAGAGCTGAGTTATTCTCGTAAAACAAGTGTACAACGGAAGGTAGGCAAGTGTACAACAGGAAGGTAGACTGTTCTCTGAGGATGTTTCAAAGCCAAGGGCACAGGAAGGAAGAGTGGGAACCTGCGTTCCAGATACTGGGAGGAATAGATGCTAGAGGGCTTCCTGGAGGAGGTGGCTTTAAGCTCTGGCTCACAGGTGGGTGGGCTTGATCTGAAATGGGAGACTGCTTCTAGGAGAGCACAGGAGACCTTCTTTTTTTAAAATATATTTTATTGATTTTTTACAGAGAAGAAGGGAGAGGGATAGAGAGTTAGAAACATCGATGAGAGAGATCGATCAGCTGCCTCCTGCACGCCCCCCAGTGGGGATGTGCCCGCAACCAAGGTACATGCCCTTGACCAGAATCGAACCTGGGACCCTTCAGTCCCCAGGCCGACGCTCTATCCACTGAGCCAAACCGGTTCGGCAAGGAGACCTTCTAATCAACCCAGAGCCCCCTGCTTGCACTCCTCAGGAGTGACCTGTAACTCCTCCATTGTCCTCACCTCCTGGGGAACCCATTCTTTCACCAGCTCCTCTGGCCCCCAGGAGGAATAGCCATCCCTCTCTTCTCCATTTTTTCCTCATTTCTCCTCCCTCCTCCACTTCTCTCTTTTCAGTCCCCATCTCTCCTCAACACTCATATCTGGGCCTACTCCACAGCCCAGAGCTCACATCCCCACACATTCAATGGATTCTTGCAAATGGGAGCAAGAATTGCCCTCACACCTCTTCCACCTTCAATCCTAATTGGAATAAGATGAATGGGGGAGGGATGTTTAAGTGGATGAGTAAGTAGATGGATGGCTGAGTAAATAGGTGTGTGGATGACTGAGTAGGTGGAAGGATAGGTGGATAAAGTAAGAAAAAGAAAGGATAGATAATGTTAGAGGGGTAGGTGGGTAGATAGGTGGATGGATGGATGAGCAGGTTGATGGACAGGGAGATAGATGAATGAATAGATAGATGGTTAGGTATCTGGGTTGGTAGTAGATGGCTAGTAGGTGAGTAGGTAGATAGATGAATGGATAGATAGGTGAGTGTGTGGATGGATTGATAGATGGAAAGTGAATAGATGGTGGATGACTGCATGGATGGTAGATGGATAGATAGATGGGCGAGTTGGTAATGGATGTCTAGTGGGTGAATAAGTAGATAAATGGATAGGTAGGAAGATGCATGGTTGGATGGGTAGGTGGTAGATAGATAAATAGATAAGATGATAAATTGCTAGGATAATTAAAACCACAAGTTTATTCCAAAGCATCAGATGATCTCACATCAAGGATAATTGGAAAACCACTGAGTATATTTTTAAGGGGATAAAAACAGAGATTAAGTCGGCTGTACAGCAACTGTGTCAACCCAGACAGAGCTGTGGGCAGATGGGGGCTGCCACTAGCCCCAGTGAGACCCCTCTTCTGCTCCTTCCCTGCAGGTGGGCTGTAAGGCCGCTGTGGTCTTATTCCAATACTGTGTCATGACCAACTTCTTCTGGCTGCTGGTGGAGGGCCTGTACCTGCACACCCTGCTTGTAGTCTCCTTCTTCTCCGAGCGGAAGTACTTCTGGGGGTACATGCTCATCGGCTGGGGTATGGTTCTGGGGAGGGCGACCAGGCTGGGGACATAGGGGACGAGGCTTGGGGAGCTTACAAAGGGGCAGGTACTGACCCAGCCTGCAATCCTAGGTCTTGCTGGACTGTAGGTCCTGCCTGCAAGTCTCTAGCCAAGGGTTGATAAAAGTCTCCTAAATGTGTGACCCAGGGCAGGTGCCCTGAGGCTGTGCCAGGGCTGGGCTGTGGGACAGACAGGTTCTAGGAACATCTTTCCACCACCCCTTCAGCCTTGAAACACAGGGCTGAAAAAGACTCGCCCTGTAGGTGGGCACAGCCCCTCAGACACACAGTTTCAATCCTCAATGGAGCACAGTGAACAACCAATGCAACCATACGGCGCAGCCCTAGTAACCCACCTGTTCTCTCTCCCTCCCTCTCTCTGGTTCTTCCTCCGTAATCTCTCCCTCCTGCCCTCTCTCCCTGACTCCCATGCCCTCTCCTCTCTTTCTCCTTCGGCCCTGACAGGGGTGCCCAGCACATTCACCATGGTGTGGACCATCACCAAGATCCATTTTGAGGATTATGGGTGAGCTGTCACCCTACCCCCTCCTCCTGGCTGCCATCCCTTGGGGCACATCCCTGGGTGGGATGAGGGGGGCTTGGGAGCGACAGACTCTGGGTCCATGCCTCTGAAGGGACCGGGGGCAGAGCTGGGGACAATGGGAGAACTGCTGACCATCTCTCTGGCTGAGGACAACCTCTCATTCTCCCCTACCATCCCTTGCCCAGATGCTGGGACACCATCGGTACCTCACGATTGTGGTGGATCCTAAAGGCCCCCGTCCTCACCTCCATCTTGGTAAGACCTCCTCCCACCACTCAGAGATGGGGAAACAGAGGCCCAGGTTGGGTAGTCAACTTGCTTCAGGTCACACAGGAAATTCCAAGTCTAGGTCAGAACTGAAACCTAGGCTTCCCAATGTCTAATGCAGTGTTGCCGCCCTCCCTCTCCCCCCTACCTCCCCAAGGCCTTAGGGATCATTTTTCCTCTAGAGTAGAGAAGAGGGATTGGAGGCCCAGGCTTTAGGGATGGGAAGTAGAGTTCCCAGATGACTTGCCCCAAAGAGGGGAGAGCTAGGGGACAGGTAAGACGGAGGGGCAGCAGGGCTCTAGGGACGAGACGGGCCATCCGCCCAGGAAGCTGGACAATCTTCTCTCTCTGACTACCCATCCTTGGCCTACCACCACCAGGTGAACTTCATCCTATTTATTCGCATCATCCGAATCCTGGTTCAGAAACTGCAGACCCCAAATGTCGGGAAGAGTGACAAAAGCCCATACTCGTGAGTATCGTGAGTATACCGCCAGTGCCCTGGTTCTCCCAGGATCCCCATGCCCGGTCCTCAAAGCATCCCGTGTCTCCTGTATGTCCCCCTCCAGAGTCACCAAAAGCCACGTTGCTCTTGCCCACCTCTACCCCATGGCCTGGCTCAGTCCACAAGTGTCCTCTGCCCCAGCCCCACCGGTCCAGGCTCATGAGTCCCACGTCTGCTTCTCCTGCAGTCACCTTCCCTGGCAGGTGATCGGACCCAGGTACGAATCTGATGCCTCGCCAGGGTGCTGGAGAAGACAGTAGATAACCTGTATCTTGTCCACACTGAGTGCCCAGTCCCTGGCATGTGATTGGCAGAGAAAAGGGGCCAATAAATGCAGTTAGCGAATGCCCTAGGGAGCCTCCAATCTACCAACAACACAGCCATATTCAGGACTCAGGACTTGCCAGTAATAATAACAAAGTCTGCAGTTCACATGCCAGGCATGTGCCAGGGGTTTCCATTCATCATCTCATTTCACCCCACCGCCCCCTATAAACTGCTCCTGTTTTACAAGTGAGGGTACTGACACACACTCCCTCCTCTCAAAGGTTTGGGAGTGTGTCGCATGGCAGGGGGAGGGCATGGTGTCCATGGGACAGCGGTCATGCTCCTGGCTTAGCAGGGTGTGAGGGCTGTCCCCTGTGCCGGGGAGGACTGGAGAAACAGGCAGGTTCTCGTGAGAACAATGGGCTTGAAGACAGAACAAAAGAAACAAGAAAAGGGTGTCTGTGGGCAGGTGAGTAGGCATCTGCATGCCCACAGATGGGAACAGGAGATTATCACCGCTGCACAGACTAGACACAAGCCTGGGCATTCTGCAAGGGCCTTCTAGTCCTGGGATTCTAGAACGTTCTTGGCCTGGCTTCTCTTTGGGGGAGTCTGTGCTGTGGTTTTAAGGTTCCTGGCTAGAACGTCCTGAGCTGCTGGAGTGAGGATTCTATTCTGGACTCCTATGATCTCATGGATGAGACTGAGATAGGCATTCCATAGGGCGCCCGCTTTCTCTCCTGCTGGGTGTGGGGGGGAGCCTCTCCCAGTTGTTGAAGGGAAGGCCCTGCAGGGGGCGGCCGTCTGCCAAGGGGTAGGACCTCAGGCCTGCCCACGCTCACTCTCTACTTTTGTCTGTGGGCCTTGTTTTTCCCTACATTCAACTACTCAAAAGGGCTTGAATCCGAGGCAAAGAGAGCTGGTCATTGCCAGGTCCACGTGGGTGAGATGGAAACTGAACAGCTGTCGGCAGGCAGAGGGGCGGGGGACGGATAGGAGATGGAGCTCCCTGAGCAGGGCTGTCAGCTCCCACTCTCCACCTCCCCATAAGCCTTCACTTTAAAGAGAGCTTCCATCTGTCAGCCTCAGCGGGCCAAGGAGGGGTGGGCAGCGCTCGGGATCTTGGCATGGCTGGGAACCAGATTCAGGAAGGAATGGGAGAGGCAAGGCCAGTTTCCCTGCCCCCGGTTTGCTGTGGGGCCTCAGGCCGGGGACTAGGCTCCCCTGGGCTGACCGCCAAGGCAGGAGAGAGAAACACAGAGACCCCTCCACCACTCAGACCTCTCCCAGGAGAGAACTGGTCTCATGGAGCCATTGCACTTCATAGCACCCAAAGCACTTCTCAGTCTACAGTGGGTCCGCTGTCTATAATTTGACCATGTGGAGCGTACACTTACCCCATTGTACAGATTGGGGGAAACTGAGGCCAGGAGAGGGAGCCGGGTTCTCTCCCCGTTGGCTGCCACAGAGGCTGGAATCCCACCATCATGCATCGTCCTCGGGGTTCAGCACTGGCCCTCCTTTCCACTCTTCCAGAGGATGAGGACAGAGGGGTTTCTTTCTCCCTCGAGCCTCCCTCCAGACTAGGAGGGCTGGGGCCTGAGGGCATAGACACCTCAGATATGGACCAGGACCAGGACCAGAGGCGGACATCACAGTCAGGGGGCCAGAGTTCTTCCTCGCACACCCTGGTTGCTGTCCCCATCTTCTTGGGGAGGCCTGTCGTGTCCACATGTACGGACACACCGACTCACTGCCTGCCCCTCCCTGCCCCCAGGAGGCTGGCCAAGTCCACCCTGCTGCTGATCCCCCTGTTTGGGATGCACTACACCGTGTTTGCCTTCTTCCCCGACAACTTCAACGCTGAAGTGAAAATGGTCTTTGATCTCGTCGTGGGGTCTTTCCAGGTAGGAATTGTTGACTTACGGATGCCTCCTCCTCTGGGCTGGAAGGGAATTCGACCTGGGGCCTCCGCCCCTTGCCACTGGATTCCAGTCTTTTCACTGTAATAAGTATTGATTAAGCATCTGCTGTGTACTTAGCCTTTTGCTTAACCAGGAGAACACGGGGGCTGGGCAGGGCTAGGCCCCTGTGGTCGGCCCAACTCACCTCCCTGTTCCCTTCCTCCCAGGGTTTTCTGGTGGCTGTCCTCTACTGCTTCCTCAATGGCGAGGTGAGCCCCCCTGCCGCCCCCCTCCCCGCCCAGACCTTGGGGCCCAGGGTCCAGAAACGCTGGTGGGATTGGAGCAGAGCGAGGACGGGTTAAACCTCGCTACTCCAAGTGTGGTTCTCAGACTAGTAACTCAATGGCGGCATCTAAGACCTAGTTAAGAATGCTGATTGCTGGGCCCACTCCAGACCTGCTGGCTTTGGGTCTGCATTTTCAGTAAACGCAGAGTTTGACAAGGGCCTGTTCAGGGGCTGTGCGCAGAGTGAGAGGGGAGGGTGGGGGCAGCAAGTGAAGGCTGCGTTACAGTGAAGCCCTGGTTACAAAGCGGAGAAGTCCGTTTGGATGAGCTCAGGTGGTCTGGAGGGCAGGGATGGAGCCATCCCTCTCCATCCCCGGACTGCATTCTCGGATCCTCTCTGCCTCCCTCCTCCCCTACTCCAAGGCCTTGATTTGACCTTGGCCCCCAGCGTCCCAACTCTGTATCCCCAAAGGGAGCATCGGGTCTCTCAATTTAGACTCCCCAGGAGGCTTTGTGGGTGTGACCACCCTCCCTTCTCCCAGGTGCAGGCAGAGCTGCGGCGGAAGTGGCGGCGCTGGGACCTACAGGGCGTCTTGGGCCTGGGCCCCAAATACCAGCACCCACCCGGAGGCAGCAGCAGCAACGGGGTGACCTGCAGCACACAGGTCTCCTTGCTGACCCGCGTCAGCCCGGGCGCGCGCCGCTCCTCCAGCTTCCAGGCCGAGGACTCCGTGGTCTGACCGCCGGGGACAGAGGCCTACCGGGGCGAGTAGCCCCAGCCCTGGGCTCGGAGGCTGTCCTGGCCCCCAGGTCACCGTCCAGACGCCCTGGCTCCGGCCTGGGGAGAGGGAGGTGCTTCTAAGCAAGCTGGAGCCCCGAGAGGTGCACCCTGGAAGGTGTGGGGTGGAGCTCAGTCACCAGACTTCTCCCACAAAGGCTCTCTCCCAATCAATGGAAGGAAATTTGCATACTCAAGTGACTCCGTCCCCCTCGTGACCAGTCGAGGAAGGCAACCACCCAGGCCAGACAATACAGGGGGAACATGGTTGACAAAGGCTTTGCACGCCCCCATCCCCAAAGGTCCCCGGACACCACCACCTCATCAGTGCCTGAAGTTCCAACCTTGCTGTCAGCTTCCTTTGGGTTAAGTATCACCATTCAGGCATCTCTCTGAGGATGCGGTCCCCTGCCCCAGTGCCCTCTTAGCTGCCAAGTCCTGGAGGTAAGCGATGCAGTTGTGATGCGGAGTTCTGGTTTGGGGAGCACAGCTGTCTTCAGAGTCTGCTGAAGGGGGTGGTCCCAGGATGATGGCAACAATTCGAGGGGCTGCCACCAACCGTACCCATCCCTATGGGTTGTGGGAGCTGCCCTCAGCTGCCTACCTACGAGCCAACTGTGAGAACTAGGCTCAGAGATGTGCACTCGTGGGTCCCTCAGTCCTCACATCAACCCAGCAAGGTGGGAATGACTGTCCCTGTTTCACAGATCAGGAAGCGGAGCCTCACAGAGCAGGTACCTGGCCTTGTCACGCAGCGGGATTTGAACTCAGATCTGGCTGACAGGAAAGGGAAAGCACAGACTTCTTACTGCTGCCTTTTATATCTTATAACATGCTGGATCCTCTTGTTATTTGTTTCACCACTCGTTATTGCCACCATCCCTGTAACCCCAACCCCATCCCACCTGACCCTCCCTGGCGTGTGGATGTGGCTGTGGCTGAGGAGTCCTCTGGCCCATGTGTCATCTACACAACAGCCTGGTGGTCATGGCAACGTGTGTCTGCTCTGCACCTCTGTGGTCCCATGGCTTCCTGCTCACACCACAGCCGGAAGACCCTCATTTGTGCAATAATAAATGTGTTGGATTGGCTTGGTTTTTCTGGTGGTCGATGTTCCTGTGTGACCTAAAATGGGGACTAGCTTCCAACTTGCTGCCATCTGTCCCCATTGGGAGGAGGGGTACACCGAAGCCAGAAGCTACCACCCCTCTGACTTTGGGCAGCAATGCCTGCCATGGGAGAAGCACGCAGTTCTAAGGGTCTTGGACTGACATTTCACAGAGAGGTATTCTCTCTTCTGAGGAAGAAGAAGTTATACCAGGTCTTCATTGTGTCCTCCCACCCCCAAATCCAGCCCCAAAGAGACAGTTCTATTGGATCAATACAAAGCTAACAGCAGCCCCAGAAATGGTTAGGTGCGAGCATTTCCCAGGCCGCATCCATTCCTGCAGACAAGGGGTCCATGGGGTATGAGATGGCCGTGTTGCTATTGCCATTATTCAGCCAAGAGGAGGAAGATAGAGGACAGAACAAATGTCACCAAAACAAGTGAGTGAGCCCTAGCTGGTCTGGCTCAATGGATAGAGCATCGGCCCACAAACTGAAGAGTTACAGGTTCGATTCCGGTCAAGGGCACATACCCCCCAATGCAGGCTCCATCCCCAGCCCTGGTCGGGTGTGTGTGGGAGGCAACCAGTCATTATGTTTCTCTCAGTGTGTCTCTCCCCCTCCCTTCCACTCTCTAAAAATCAGTGGTAAAATATCCTCAGGTGAGGAGTAACCCAAAAAAGTGAGTGAGCAGAGGCAATACCACTAACAGAAAGGTTCCCGTGGTTCTCAACCTGTGGGCCACTGGTCTGGCTCAATGGATAGAGCATCGGCCCACAAACTAAAGAGTTACAGGTTCGATTCCGGTCAAGGGCACGTACCCCCCAATGCAGGCTCCATCCCCAGCCCTGGTTGGGTGTGTGTGGGAGGCAACCAGTCATTATGTTTCTCTCAGTGTGTCTCTCCCCCTCCCTTCCACTCTCTAAAAATCAGTGGTAAAATATCCTCAGGTGAGGAGTAACCCAAAAAAGTGAGTGAGCAGAGGCAATACCACTAACAGAAAGGTTCCAGCGGTTCTCAACCTGTGGGTCGCGACCCTATTGTTTTTGTGATTACTCTATTTCTTGTAATTATGTTCAATTTGTAACAATGAAATTGGGGGTCACCACAACATGAGGAACTGCATTAGGAAGGTTGAGAACCACTGGTAGACAGAGGCAGTAGGGTGAGGTGGATGATGTCAGTCAGCAAACGATGTCTCCAAAGCCATTGCCTGAGTTGACCTCCTTGGCCTCCACTTTCTACAAACTTACAAGGAGGTGTCTTGCTGCAGGAGCAGGAGAGGGATGCCAAGTTGGTAAAAAAAAGGGAAAAAAAGGCCAGAATGGGCTGGCAAAGGCTTAGATCTGCCTGCAAGGCTCCTTCCAAGCCCTGGGCTACTCAGTGCCATCCCAGGACTCACCAAGGACGGACCAGCCCAGCACCCAGCGGCCCGGAGGCCCCAGTCAGGGGCGGTCAGGCCAGGGAGAGTGCCTGTAAGCTTAGAGCAAGGCAGCCCCAGGCAAATACCCTTTGGTCCGTGGTCCAGCATGTCCAGGAGTAGCAAACCCTCTCCGTCTAGATCGTCTAGATCCTCGCTCCGTGCCTGCCCTGTACATGGCAGCTGTAGGGCAGAGAAGGAGGCAGCGCCTAGCTTGAGTGCCTGGCCTGCTGGAGAGAGAGTTCTCAGCACCCTCTCTCCCCTCCCCCTGCCTAGGCCAACCATGGTGACCACCAATAAGGTGTGGGTCAGGTGGGGAGAGCTGGGCTCAGGCGTTTGGGACTCTTGGGACTTGGTCCATTCCTCCCTGTCCCCCACCCCTGTACTCCAAGGCACTGAGACGAGGGATGGGGAACAGGCTCCTCTCACCCAGCTGGGGTATGTCGCTCACTCTCTCTGGTTTCCTTCCTTCTCCTCCCGACTGGGGACTCCCTGCACTGGCTCCAGAGACCTTACCACCCCATTCTCAGTAAGGCCGAGAAGACTGGCCTTAGTCTTTTAGTCCTGATTCTGGGCCTCAGTTTCTCCACCTGCACAATCGGGGAGGGTGCTGGATGGCTTAGCTTTGTTTCCGGCTAAGACTTGGGTGGCTAATGAGGAGGAGCCTGGCCAGAGCCTCTGCCACCTGCTTTGTCCTCTGGGCTCAGGGGGAAGAGAGCAGCTGGAGGGGCGCTCCAAGCATCTAGGGGCCAAGGGAGAGCCAGAGGATGAAGGCTGTGCAGAGAACGAGGTCAGAGAATGAGGGATGAGCTCAGGCTGGTAGAATAGGGGAGGGGAGGAGGGGAAACAGAAATGGGAGGAGCCAACAGATCCTAGAAGCCAAGTGTTTGCAGAGGGAAGGGCAGCACCAGCACCCCACCTCCAGATAAGGACCCCCACCAGCTGACTGAGGGGTGTAAAGACCAGGAGGCCCACAGACTAAGCTGAACCCAGCCTCTCCAGGGCTTAAAATCCCCCATTAGTGAGTCATGGCTTTAGGGTAAGGAGAGAGCCCTGAGGAGAGGAGCCGAGTTATCAGCCAGGAGGGTGGAAAGGGAATGAAACACAGAGAGACCCAAGATGGGGCAAAACAGGGGGACAGAGGTGGGCTCCTGCCCTGAGAAGAGGCAGCAGGTGAGCAGCCCAGGGGTGGCTTTCAGGAAGAAGGAGAAGCTGAAACTCTGTCTTGGGCTGGCACAGGCCATAAGGACATCCAAGCTGCCTATGAGGTGGGGTGGAGTGGGGCTGACCACACAAAGAATTTCTCCTGCACCCCCTCTTCCCTCCAGCTCTAGGGTCCCTCCTGCCTTGCAGGGCACTTATCAAGCCAGACCAGCTCATCTCTATCGCCACCTGGTGGGTACTTCAAGGACTTCCCCAAGGTTGGCTTAGGTCCCCCAACACCTGGGAGGCCAGATGACACCAGGGGCAGGCCTCTCTCGCCTCAGCTCCATTTCAGAGTGAGACAGAAGAGAAGGAGATGGGGAGGCGACAGGCCTTGTGACGCCAGGGATCCAGGAGACCAGAGCCTGGCCCTTGGACCCAGGCCCCTGACCACAGGGGCACACAGACCCCAGCTGGGTTCCCCGCAGGCTCAGCCCTCGCCCTTGACCAAGCTCTGACCCAGTCCTTGTAGGCAAAAGCCAGTTAACTCAGGGGGTCACCTCCTGGGAAGACAAGTGCAAAGAGTCTCCCACCATCCTGGCGGAGAGGGCCACCATCGCCTTGATGGCCAAGGGTGACATGTGGCTGGTTCCTGCCACTCCAGGGAGGGCAGCCAGTCTGCCATCAAAGTGGATTGGGAGCAGCTTCCCAGGTGAGGTGACATCGGGAGGTGATGTCTCTGAGAGCTGGGTAGGAGTCCGTGGGTCCCAAGGGCGTGTGATGAGCGCAAGGAACACCTGAGTCCAGGTGAGCAGGTGCTGGGGCCCCTTTGCAGCAGGAGCCCAGTGCAGGCTTCTTCAGTGAGGCCCAGAGGAAGAGGGTGGGCAGGTCTGGGAAAAGTCACCAGTCATCATCCAGGTGAGGAAGGGGGGCGGAGAGGGGGCGGGTTTGGGAAGATCATGACCTGGTGGTTTGGGACATGCTGAATGTAATGTCTGTGGGACACCTGGGGAGAAGCCCTGAGGCTGTTGGAATCAGAACCTAAATCAAGCCCTAACCGGTTTGGCTCAGTGGATAGAGCGTCAGCCTGCGGACTCAAGGGTCCCAGGTTCGATTCCAGTCAAGGGCATGTACCTTGGTTGCGGGCACATCCCCAGTAGGGAGTGTGCAGGAGGCAGCTGATCAATGTTTCTCTCTCATCAATGTTTCTATCTCTCTATCCCTCTCCCTTCCTCTCTGTAAAAAATCAATAAAATATATTAAAAAAAAAAAAAAGAACCTAAATCAACAGGGCCCAGGCAGGGGGCGGGGAGACCAGGACAGCCCCGTGTGGAAGAGGTGCGCAGGGAGTCTGTCCCCAGGCACCTCCAGCTGGTGTGACGGCCCAGGGTGGTTAGGTGCCATCCCCCCTTCCCCTCCCTCATTTCCCACCACTCACCCAGAGCCTGTTTTAATGAGCAATGACCCTGCTTCCCTCTACGTGGGAACAGGAACTGCTCTTATCTCTCCAGGGGGAGGGGGCCGGAGCCACAGCTGGCAGTCATTAAACACCCTGATCAGGCCTGGATGGCTGAGATATTAATAGCCGGGAGTCCATGGCCCTGGAGACACAGCCTCCCAGGAAGGGGGACAGTCACCTCAGCAGGCCATGGCGATGAGCAGGACGGGTCATCCTGGCAGTGCCCCAGCCCCCGTGCAGGACGGACGGGTAACCAGAGTCCAGAGAGAGGGAAAGGGACTTGCTGGGATCACCAGCAAGTCATTGGTAGAGCCCGGCCTTGAACCCAGTTCTCAAAACCCCAGAGCCCGGCTTCAGTGTGTGGACGGTCCCAGCTGAGGGCCACTGGGTGTGCCCTGTGTGGACACCAAGTGGAGCAGACCGAGTTGGCAATGCTGACTCTTTAGTCTCTTTCTTTAAAAACCTTGATATCTCGTTAGTCATGTGTTTTTGCCTTTGTTTTGATTTTTTAAAATGTAAGTTATCCCGATGACTGAGTTCTGCGCCACCTCCTTAAACTGTGCACCCCGAGGCGAGTGCCTCCCTTGCTCAGCTCCCCGAGGGCCCAGCATCGCTGAGTCCCAGCAGGCCCACAGCTGCCTCCTCCCTCCTGTGCCTGAGACTCCCCCGCCCCGCCCTTCCAGGCTCATCATGGTGCAGTGGCTTCAGAGGAGTATAACTGCAAGGGCTAGGGGAAGAGGACTCTGTTTAATATTTTCCAAGTATTAACATCATCACACCATCGACCAAAAAGTTCCTGAGCGCTAAACTGTGTGCAGAGTTCCCGGCTCTGAGGATACGAGGCAGAGGCCCTGCCTCCCGGAGCTGACCTGTAATAAATGCGAGAAATGATAGCAGCAAGCAGGATGCGGGGCTAGATTAAGGGGGTGGTCACAGGAGGCCTCCCCAAAGAGGGGACAGTGGAGCAGGAGCAGGTCACCCCCTTCCTGATAATCAGATGATTTTATTTTTTTTTAATTACTGTTTATTGATTTTTAGAGAGAGAGGAAGGGAGAGGGAGACAGAAACACCTATGTGAGAGCAGAAAAAGGATTGGCTGTCTCTTGCATGTGCCCTGACCGGGAATCAAAATGGCAACCTTTTGGTACATGGGATGATGCTCAACCAACTGAGCCACACTGGCCAGAGCAATCAGGATTTTAAACCATGTACGTCAGAGCTGGGGCTCAGACACCTTGAGAGCCAGGTCAGAACGTGCAGGCCCCTGCCCCTGCAGCAGCAGCCCGGACAGCCTGTGAGGACACCCCTGCACTAGGGGCTGGGGGCCTCCGTGTGCCCGCCTCTCCCCTAGGGACTCCAGAGCTCAGGCGACTGGCAGGGGATGCCTGCCTGGACACGGGGAGCCCTGTTTCTTGGACCCTCCATCGCAGCAGTGACCTGGGCCCGCAGACTCCATCTGGGCGTGGGTGGGGACCCAGAGGTCCCCCCACCTCCCCAGCTCAGTGTCCTCGGTGCCAAGTGATAGAGAACAGGCAGCTCTTGAAAAAACTAATATTTACTCTTCAAATGGGAGCTGGCACAGGCTGTTTCCTGCGACTGGCGTCGGGCTCGCCTGTGGGATGGACACACAGGAGCCACTCCGGGAGATGGGCAGATGCCCCGAGGGCACCGGCATCCAGGATGAGACAATGTCCTCGAGGTGGGGACAGCGTGTTCCAAGGCGCCGTCCCACGCAGCATGGCTCTGCTTGCGCACCTTCAGGGCGGAGCCCTGTGAGCGAGTTCATCCCCGAGCTGGCCCGTGTCCCTTGCCCCTGGCCCCTGCTCGGATGCCCGGGGCCTCAGAGAATGTGCCTGGAACAACCGCTTGGGTTCGTGGTGGTCCTGGTCCCTTCACCCCGTCCAACTCCACCCCCTTCGGCTTTGCTTCCCCAGGCTCACTTGGCTGTGGGGCCAGAACAGGCTATTTCTGGGGCGGGAAGAAGGCCTGGCCTCGGGGCACCTCCGCCCCCTGCAGCTGTGTCCTGATCCCTGTGAGAGCCCATCAACTCGTGGCCTCACGTGGGAAAGAGTCTCCGCCAGGAAACTACTTGTCAGACAGCCTGAATCTTGGAAGGAGCGAGTCCCCAGTGGCCAGGGCCAGCTCCCTCCCGCCTGCTTTTCCCTCTGGAGTCCCCTCCTCCCTGCTCTCCCTGCCCCGTGGCTTCCAGAAGCCCTCCCTGACCACTATAGCCCTGGCCTCGGCTTAGGTTCCCATCCCTGACACCGCTGAAGCAGCCCTGGAGGCGCACACACTCTGGCAGCATGGGGGGGTGCGGGGGTAGAGGCCCCAAAGGCAGGCTTTCTTGGCCTCATGGAGTTGGCAGGCCTGGGCACACCCAGGGCAAGCTCTCCCAGGGCCCTCAGGAACTGACTGACCACTGACCCTCTTTTATTATTTTTTAAATTCCTCATCATCTCTAGACCTAACTCCCATGCTCCTGGTCCTGTGTAGGCAATCGTTCAAATGCATTAAACATGTATATTTTTATTTATTTATTTTTTAATCCTCACCTGAGGACATGCTTAGAGAGAGGAAGTGGGGAAGGGAGAAGAGAGAGAGAGAGAGAGAGAGAGAGAGAGAGAGAGAGAGAGAGAAACATTGATGTGAGAAAGAAACATCGTTCTATTGCCTTCTGTATATGTGCCCCGACCTGGGATGGAATCTGCAACCCAGGTATGTGCCCTGATCAGGAATCAAACCCGCAACCTTTCAGTGCATGGAACAACACTCAAGCGAGTCACTCCAGCTGGGCTGAACATGTATCTTTTTAAATACATTCTTACAAAATATTTTATTATTTTGTGTGCAATACACCTAATCATAAAATGTTATTTTTCACTCAGCTTTATGTTTTGAAGCTCCATCCACATCCTGTGTTACATGTAAACCTGGTACTTCTGCCTGTTGCGTGGTGCACACTTTGTGTCCATGATTGGCACACAGATGCTTTCTGCCAACACAAATGATGCTTCGGGAAACACTTATCTTCATACATGTCCCCTTAAGGATCTGGGTAAGAATTTGCCAGGGATGTAAAACCAGGAGTGAAGTTCCCAAAAGGCATGTACACAACTGCATTTGGGTAGGCAGCTGTATCAGTCAGCCTGAGCCGCCATAACAAAGACCACAGACTGGGTGGATTGAAGAATAGGAATTTATTTTCTCACAGCCCTGGCGGCTAGAAGTCAGAGACCAAGATGTTGGCAGTTTGGTTTCTCCTGAGGCCTCTCTCCTTGGCTTGCAGACGGCCACCTTCTCCCTGTGTTTTCCCATGGTCTTCTCTCTGTACACGTCTGTGTCCTAATCTCTTCTTTTTCTTGTTGTTGTTTTGTTAATCCTCACCAGAGGATATTTTTTCCATTCATTTTTAGAGAGAGTAGAAGGGAGGAGAAGAAACAGAGAGAGACACTGATTGGTTGCCTTCGGCACAGGCCCCAACCATTGCCAGGGATCAAGCTTGCAACTGAGGTACATGCCCCTGGGACCGTTCAGTCTGTGGGCGGACGCTCTAACCACTGAAAAGCCAGCCCTCCTGGTGCAGAAAGGGCACCCTATGTGGGCCAAGATCGCTTTTTCTGTGTGGGTGCTGCCAAGTGGGAGACAGCACCTCGTTCCCAGCCTGGGCACACCCAAGGCAAGCTCTCCAGGGGCAACGCAGGCCCCTGGCTCTCCGAGGGCCCTCAGGAACCGACCTGAGGGGAAGGAGCTCGGGGCTACACTGGACTGGCTCCCTAGGATGGGCCTCAACTTCCCCAACCCACGCAACGACAAGGGGGTTGAGCCAGATGGTGTCGAAAGGCTCTGCCAACTCCGAACCTCAGAACTCAAAAACTCAGATGTTTATTTTGGACGCCTTTGCCCTCCTCTGAAAGATTCCGTACAGGACAGATGGCGGAGGGAAGCTCGGAGCGGGAGCGTGCATTTCCCCACGTGCTTGGAGCGTGATCAGAAGAGGTGGGCGCCTTGCTTCCTTTCTGGGAATTTTATCAGCTGCCCAGGAGGACCTCGGCACAAGGGCCCAGTCCTGAAGACTGGCTGGCAGCTGCGCCTCCTGGTGGCCATCTCGAGATGGGGCTGGTCTTGGGAGATAACTCACACCATCACCCTGGGAGCAGACAGGAGCCGGGAGCCCAGGGCGAGGAAGTGGCTGTAAGGCAGGGACAGCGCCTGCAGGAAGGCAGGCCTCCCAGCCCCCAGGGCAGCACTGTGACTGCTTTTCTGGGGTTTCCAAGGTCTTTCCGCAGCCAGAGTCTGGGATTAGGGCTGAAGACTCTTGGGGTCCTTGCACCTGCCTAGACTCCACTGGACAAGAGGACCTGAATTTTCCTTCTCACAACTCACCCCCCTCTATTGTGCCAGGCCCAGGAAAGTGGGCCCATAACTCAGAATCTTACACACAAATACAGACACACGAGTTAATAAGCACCTTGGATTTATTCTCCCCCCACGCCTGAAGCCACCTCGTTTAATGTACATATACACAGTATATAATGCCATACAACATTCTCCACATACATGAACACAAGTTTAGGCTTCACTGCTGTGCGGAAGTTTGTTAAAAGTACCCATCATTTGGTCAAAATAGGTCCTTGTTATTACATGGAAACAGTAAGCATTCAAAAGGAATATGTGAATTGTGGTTGCCCTGACCCAGTCAGCCTCCATCGTTTATGCTCTTAATAGAAAAGTCCATTAAACAAAACAGAATCCTGGGGGTCATGTGAATAACGCATTAAACACTACTTCTGAAGCAACCCCAGGATCACACAGGCGTAAAGGGGAGGGAAGGTCATATGTACCAAGCACAGGTTGGAGGGACAGAATGGATTTGGTAAGTTTACCCTAAATACAAGGCGCTTGTGGGCAACAGCCCCGCCGTCGGTACACACAGCCAGATGTTTCCATATCCGGCCATTCCCAGATTTGACTGACAAGCCCGTTTCCACAGGTTCCCTGCCAATGACGTTGCCCCAGCAACAGAATTTGACATCACTGCTCCCACACGGGAAAAGCAGAGCGCTCCTCGTTCGGGGGCAGACCTTGAGGTTTGGTCTCTGGGTCTTAGGACAGGTCTCAACCACAACCAGCAGACTCCCCCCGCTTCCGCCCCCCTGAATCCTGGAGGACCCAACACCCATGGTGCCAAGGGCTCTGAGCCTGGAAGGCAGGGGCCAGGTCCAGGGGGCGGAAGAGAGGCCGCTACCTTTTGGGGGGTGGAGAATGAGGCCATTCACATGGCAGTGCCATAAAATGCCCCTTTTAGTAAAGGCCAGAAGACAGGGCTGTGCTGCGCCACCTGAAGCAGGCACAGAATCTCTGTGCAGCGCGTGAACTCAAAGCCGTCCTCCTGCACACGGATGGGTTCGCCCAGCATCCTCCTTCGCTGCGCTTTTGTCCTCAGGAAAGCACGCCAGGGGAGAGGCTGAGGTTATCACATCTCCCGGATGAGGACACTGGGGCCGGCGGGCAGTGACTCACCCACTGTGGTGCCGCTTCCCCAGCCTCACCCCTCAAGGGCACGCCTGCTCTCTCCTGCTCCTCCTCTATGAACACTCAGGGCACAGTGGAGCTCCCCTGCACCTGGGCAGGACTCCGTGCAGGACAATGGAATGTGAACCGTCAGAGCGGGGCACACGTCTGGTCGCAGCCATTACCCCCATCCCTGCCGGTCCTCAGGCCTCGCCTGTGTTGACTGAGCCAGCGGCGGGCTCTCTGAGGGCCACCTGTCCTCCAGTTACAATGAGCGGCCGACTCCTTTGAGGAACGACCAATGGCAGCCCTGGATGGGGGTGCAACCCGCAGCCTCCCCATGCCAAGGGGCAGCTGCTGTCTTCCAGCAGACAGAGAGCCCCCAGCTCTGATCTCCCACCCCCTGCTTCCCGCGCCCCAAATGGCCAGCCTGGCTGGTGGTCGTCTATGACGCTGAGCAGTGCTCACCACCAAAGCGATGCTTCCCTCCGAGACCAGACCCCCAGGAGTGTGCTGAAGCCCCTTGGGGTACACAGCCTGCGCCCTCTCTGAAGCTCCTGTACGCACTCTACCAGTTACAATGAAAGGTGCCTTTCCCATCCCTCCAGGGTCCAGTGTCAGCCTCTGTGGCCGGGGCTGGAGTGGGGGGCAGAGGTGGAGAGGAGGGGAGAACTGGAGAAGGGCATCTGGGAAAAGAATGGAGCTCAAGGTGAGGTTGATAGAAATGATGAAATGATGATTAAATGTTTTCGTTTCAGCACTCCTCCAAACACCCTTCTCACAGCCCTCAAAGACCTTTAAAATGCTGGGCCCTGACTCAGTGCCTGTCCACAGCGTTCACATTCCTCCTGCCACAGGCAGAGGGGCCTCTAGTACCAGAGGGAATCCCACCCCAAAGGTGCCGACTATCTCCACTCAGGAAAAGGACCGCCCGGAAGGGTCCTGGTCACAGCCAGGCTCGCCGGGGACACGGAAAGCAACAGAGTCCCCGTGCCTCCCCCACGGCATCGCCAGGACACTCGACAGGACACAACACTGACGCTCCTGATCTTGCAGCAGCTGATACCAGAAGGCACTTGTGAGGTTTCATTCCATCTTGTCCCAGACCTCACCCTGTGAGGTGTGGGGCGGGGGGGGGGCCTCAAAACTTCAGGCCTGGACCAAGTCACCCCTGAGCTGGGATTGGCCTTGGATGAAATCTCCAGTCCTTCTTTCCTATCAGCAGTTTCTCCCTCCAGTGGGCTGAGGCCTCTCTCAGCTGGATTTCAGTTAAACAGTGTGTGTGTGGTCATGCGTTTGTACTGCTTGGCTGGTCCTCTTCTCCCTTTAACTCGCAAAAGGAAACCTCAAACCCCAAGACCACAGTCATTCAAGTGTGGAGACCATGGCGGCTAATGCAGGGAGCACTCCCAAGAGGAAGACCCCTCAGCACAGTCTGCAATGCTTGCTGGGGTGTTCCCAGGAGGGGGACCCCTCAGCACAGTCTGCAATGCTTGCTGGGGCACTCCCAGGAGGGGGATCCCTCAGCACAGTCTGCAATGCTTGCTGGGGCATTCCCAGGAGGGGGACCCCTCAGCACAGCCTGTAATGTTTGATGGGGCATTCCCAGGAGGGGGACCCCTCAGCACAGCCTGCAATGCTTGCTGGAAGTGGGTCACAGGCTCAGACGCTCAAGGCCTCTGGGGCTCGGGGCTGCAGGGCAAGCACATGGGCTCAAAAAGAAAACAAGTCATTCATAAGCTGTTCTACCAACTTTTACAGCTTCTTTGTGCTTCTACCATAGAAGGATCTGTCTGGCCTCCTTGGCTTCCCCCTCTATTTCACCATCTCCTCAAAACGATCTCCCAGAAAGGCTGAACATTTACCTGCTGGATGTGCCAGAATTATGCAGATCCAAAATCAATAGAGAGACAACGCTGAAGTTTCCATCGGAGGGTGTTGCCAGTAGGACTTTCATATCCAGATATTTTATTTGAGTAAAAATAGAAAATTCCATTATAAGAAAATAAAATCACTCTGGCAACAGTTCCCCAACAGTTCCCAGCCACATACACTTGTTTTTCTTAAAGTGATACCAAGGTGGCTCAGTAGCAACACACCACCAGGAATAACCAAGGACGGCGAATCCACTGAAACAATATCCTTGCTTTCTCCTGTGCACAATACCTCTTGCACTGCTTTTCAACTTATAAAAACTACCAAAATAGGATTTTTTTAAACTTATCAAGACTACATAATTCCACTCAAAGTATCCCATACAACTGTGGCTGAGCTATTCGGATCCCAGACTTCTACCAACAACAATCTAGGGGCAGCTTCCAAACTGGCCCCTGGATGGTCCTAGACAAGCTAAGATCAGACTCAGAGCCAGGTTTTGGGGGAATGATGATTACTCAGTATTTTGACAGTGAGATAAAGAAAAGGTTTTCTGAGCACTGGGTTAATTCTATATTTGTCAAGTTTTTAAAAAGTTAACACCTACTTAACTCTTATTCATAAAAAATGAGGCCCTTGATCCAACTAAGGTGACTGGGAAAGGCGGAGAGGAGTGATTAATTTGGGAGGTCTTCTGGGAACAGGTACACAGAGTCGAGTGTTCATCATTAAAATGACAGGCCCCAGCTGCCACGTGCAAGGCTGCCGGCAGCAGCCTCTCCCACCGGCGTCCGAAAAGTGCGCCCGTGGGAATCCGTGTGGCTCCCCTGCTCCAGTTCCGGACCCATGGCAAGGAATCTTGCTCAATTAATTTTTTAAAATATTCAGATATGCCCTGCACATACATACAAAACATCGCCATACCCACACTGGCCCACCACCATACAAGGTTATATTTATAAATTAAATAAACTGAGCTTTCTTAACCATTTTCTCAGCTTAAGTCTGTCCTTACCCTAAATGTAGATAAGTTCAATTTATATCCAAAATATATTTAACTGTTCTAAAAGTATCATATTGATAACTATCCTGTTATCAAAAATGTAAACAAAATTTATGTTGCTTAATTCATGAACCATATTTTTAAGTTTTTAATTCACCCTGTACAGACCCTCAAAAAAACCTAATCAAGTCACATTTAGACTAAAACGCTGATATGGATTTGAACACGGTTCCTCAGAGACAACTGCCTATCACTAAAACTAGCACTACTGAATCTAGTGGTTTATTGCATCATTCGGTTTAAAAGACCAGAAGAATTCCCTTCTGGTCTTCCGATACGCTCTGTCTGAATTCAGCCCAGCGTCTGCTGTCCTAGGTAAACGTGCCGAACTGGAGAGCCGGCAGTAACGCTCAGCTCGAAACGGGGCCTGGGCATCGAGTGACCCCATGCCTCCACTGCACCTGTCAGAAGTCCCCAATCTCGCTCAGTCCCGTCTGGTCAAAATGAACTTCAAGGATGGAAACTGGAGGTGAAGTCGAGAAGCCAAAAGGGAAACACAGATGACCCTCATGTGAAAGATGAAGGGCCCGTTCCTCACACTCCACAGTCAGCCGGCTTCTCCTGGAGCTGCCTCGTCAGTATCTGGTGCGAAGACAGAGAAGCCACGCCCACGTGGAAGAGGATCTGCCAGAGGTTCCTCAGCCCGTGCAGGTACGCGTTGCCCAGGCAAATAAAGAGCAGCATCAGCACCACCTTCGTCGTCCTGGCTGGACTGTAGACCAGGTACAGGTAACACTGAAATGACAGCAGGAGGGGAGGTCCAATCGGGCGGTGAAATGGCCCCGGGCCAGATGCAAGATTCACTTCTCACACCTGCCATGCGGAGTCATTTCACCCACGTTAGCTTATTATACTGAACTCATCACAATGAGGCTGCCACTCGCTGGGTAAGTCACTGTTCACCACTGGCGGGAAGTGGAGATTTGGAAGAGAGAAGGAAAGTGAAACAGATATCACAGGAGGAATCAGAACATCGCACTCCTGAAAGAAGCTTAGGAAATACAGACAGAAATGCAGAGGAAGAAGAGAGGGGGGTCAGGGGCAGACAGCCAGGCCAGGACACCCGACAAGCCTGACTGGCCTCTCACCTCCCAGGGGCTCATTGCAGGTGAGAGAGGCGGTGAGAGGAGCTATGCTTTTCCCAGCTTAGCGCTTCCTGAGTTACAGGCCCACAGGGTCTGCTGTCCCCCAGACAGCTCCCTTATCACATCCTCAAAAGCCTCTCCTGTCGGAGATGGGAAGGTCTCAGCGGGGAGAGGGACTGATGTTTTGTGTCGGGCTCTCACATGGAAAAGAGGCTGTTCTTGTTCTGCAAAAGGTGGAAACAGCTTCTTGCTTTGATGTTAAAAAAAAAAAAAAGTAGATTCTCAAAACACAGGGCAATCTGACCAAGGTTCAGCTCAGGGGGAGGGAGAGATCCCCGTGGAAAGAGCTAACAAATGAGAAGGAAGCTGCGGGACTGGAGGGGGGGCTGTAAGATCCCGCAGCCTGAAACGCAGCTCCACAAACCGTCCACAGGCAACACACATGGTTTCCGAGACTTGTTTCTAAGTTCTTGTTCTGCAAAAGGTGGAAACAGCTTCTTGCTTTGATGTTAAAAAAAAAAAAAAGTACATTCTCAAAACACAGGGCAATCTGACCAAGGCTCAGCTCAGTGGGAGGGAGAGATCCCCGTGGAAAGAACTAACAAATGAGAAGGCAGTTGCGGGACTGGATGGGGGGGTTTGTAAGATCCCGCAGCCTGAAAGGCAGCTCCACGAACCGTCCACAGGCAACACACATGGTTTCCGAGACGTGTTTCTAAAGTTTGAGGGCATTTTCCATTTTGGGCTGAAAATTTCTTTTTGCACAATCATGAAATTCTTTAAAAATACACCAGTTAGGGTGTGGAAGAGAGAGGAAGTACCCTAAGAACAGAAATTTTAATTTAAAAAAAACTTGAAGATGAGAAAGTATTAAATCCTAGCCCAGTGAAGGACAAATAAAGAGAATCATAGCCAGGTTTTTACTAGAATTAACTCTGCGTTTGGAGATTCAAAAGCTCCTTTTTACTCCACCCCTTACATATGCATCTTATCTGAAAATCACTAAATAATAATCAAGGCTCTCTGATGTTATAATTTTTGTTTCATTCCCTAAGGGCAGATTTGAGTCAGATAGTACTACTATTTTTTTAATATACTTTTATTGATTTCAGAGAAGAAAGGAGAGGGAGAGAGAGAAACATCAATGATGAGAGAATCATTGATCGGCTGCCTCCTGCATGCCCCACACTGGGGATTGAGCCCACAGCCTGGGTATGTGCCCTTGACCGGAATCAAACCTGGGACCTTTCAGTCTGCAGGCTGACACTCTATCCACTGAGTCAAACCGGCTAGGGCAGTACTACTATTTAAAACACTTTTTACCTCTCCTTGTTTTAAAAACACACATGTAGCCGCAGCCGTGACCTCTGCAGAAGGACGTTTCTGCACTTGGGTTGTCCAACAACAAGCAGGAGGCAAGGCCCAGCTGCAGCCAGGCAGGCCCCGCCCAGCCCCTGCCATCACATCCCTCCCTCCCTGGAGGCAAGGCCACGTCCCTGCTCTCTGTCTGACACCATGGAAGGCCCTGCGGCCCAGCGTTCCCTTGCTGAGCCCAAAGTTCTCGCTCTGTTAAATGAGAGGTTAGGGCAGGATGGGCCTAGGGTCCGTCCGCTAAGAGCCCGCGTTGTCCATGATTTGAACTAAGGCCTTGGTGGAACAAAATTAGAATCTAGAAACGTGTTGATGGTTCCCACCAAAGTACAAAATAAGGCCATGGGTTTAACCCACTCGGCACACTATCAACATTTCACTCACCTGGAAAATGCAGGCTACGAAAGGAATAAGAAAAGCCAGAATATTTCCAACTTCCTCATGGGTAACCTAAAACAAATAGGAGGAACACAAGAAAAGGAATGTTTAGGTGAAAGGAAACACTATCCGGTCTGGCATGGTTGACAGCACACAATCCCTGGCTGGGTGAGACACGAGTCCCTGTTTATGTATCAACCAGGGGTTGATAGGCAATCGTCTTCAATGACCTGGGCATACTGTGCACCCTCCCCACGCATCTGTGCTAAGCCCTCAACCTGAAATGCCCCCAACGACCTCGCCACCTCTCAAAGTCCTCCCCATCTGTCAATACTAAGCCTTCCCTAATTCCTCCCATGCCCAGGTACTGCGCCTCCTCAGTGACGTCACCATACTCTGCTCTGTGCCCATGAGGCAAGGACTGTGTCTTAACCATCGTGTCGGCCAGGCACCAGTTCTGGCGTGTACGGACATTGGTAAGTAACAGGTTATGAGTCATCATAAACAATAGGAGCGGGAACCACACCACACACGGCTGAAGACAGGATGCGGTAACAGGCAGTCACCGCTCTTGTAGCACAGGCCTGCTGCCATTCCCTCAACGGGCCGGCCTGCGTCAGGGCCCTGAGACTCAACAGCAGCCATGCCTCAGACTTCAGCCATCATGCACTTGGGCATGAGCATTGGGGCTCTGTCTTTGAAAGTAATACCTGCTTACGCTCATGATGATTCTAGACTCTTATAAAGTGTTTGAAATATTTCAAAATTTAAAAACATGAGACTAGAAAGGTGCTTTGAGAGGAGCAGGCTGGAAAGTCAACTCCCCAGTGACAGTTTTGGACAAGGACACAGAGAAGTGGGATCTGCATGATATCAATCAGTCTAGACTCAAACTTTTGCCCAGCCTGGACAACCCAGCCTGTAGTGATTCCGGGGATCCCAAGGGCCACGGGGGCCGGACTCCCTTGTACCAAGTTGTCCATTTCTCACCAGTATCCCAAAGGCCCCGTTGGCTTCTTAGAAAAATGATATGAAAGAGCACGTTTCATATTTGTTCAACTTACTACAAAGAGTAAAATTAGAAATAAAAATTTTATTTGCATTTTAAGGCCTTAGTACATAATAACCTTATAAATAAAATATGTGTTTCAGTTATAAGGTTATCAGTTTCCTCGACCACGTGTCCTTCCATTTAACCTGGAAAGAAAAGGTTACCTGTAAAGAATGCTCTGCAAGGTGAATGCCACGAATGAGATTCAGAGCCGCGCACATGATGTTGAGGACAAGGGAGAGGACACCCAGGGCCGTCACTGGTTCCATTCGGAAATTAGGAGCTTCACAATTAAAACAAAGATAATAAGTGTCTAGTGAAAATGCCTTCTACACGAAAAGAAATAAATGAAGACATGACCCAGACCTCCACTAATGACAAGTTATGCTAAACATGCATGTTCATTTAAAAAGCAGCTGTAGTTAGAAGGGGAAGAGCAAGAAATGACAGGCAGAATGGGTCTGGGAATCTAGGGGAGTTTCCTCAATGGCCACGTGACAATGTCTCGAGACGTTCTGGATGGTCACACTGGGGACAGGCCATTACTGGCACCCACTGGGTAGAGGCGATGAATGCTTCTACACATCCTGCAATCCACAAGCCGGCCCCACAACAAAGCACTATCCAGTACAAGATGGGAGTCCACGTGACACTGAATGTTGTCCTTGTCAGAAAAGAGCAGAGCATTTTACAAGCTGAGAGTCGATGTGTGTGATAGAAATGCTCTCAGAAACTGACAACTAATTCACAAATAAAGCCATACCGGTAAACTGCTTTAAGTCAGGATTTCTCTTGCTGTGCTCTTTCTAAATCATCCTTCCTTGTCCTTTCATCTCTCACATACACGGCCATGCACACGCACACACAGACAGCTTGCTGCACCCCCACGGATGCCTATTGTTAGTGTTAGGGTCTCCACCGAGCAAGTCAATGTTCCTGTTAGAACAGAATGTGCTACCTGCACAGGTTCTAGCCTCAGGACAACAGGGTGAGCCAAACCGCAGTATAATGTCCTAGAAGGATAGGCAAGTATTTGCTCCTCTTGTCCAAGTGGTTAAAAAACAAAACTTATGTCACAAAGTTACCCCATCTCAGACACGGCAAAGGAGCGGTCCAACCAGCCAGTCTTCCTTCCCAACATAAATTACAACTTACTGACTAGCCTGAGAGCCAATCCAGGAATTTGTTGGTCAAAACATTCAATTAAAACACAAAGTTAAGCCAAAAGCATGAACACTTTTAAGATACAACTTTTAAAGTTCAAGCAATGAGTTTAGTATAAAAGTTAAAATAATTAGATTGTTGTAGTATAGAGACAGCTCTTTCTTTCAGAGCAAAATTCAGCTCTTCACCATTACAAAATCCTTACAATGTAAATATCCACCTTAACTAAGAGCAGGTTTAATTGTGTATAACTGTAAACAAGGAATGCTGCCCTAACTGGTTTGGCTCAGTGGATAGAGTGTAGGCCTGCAGACTGAAGGGTCTCAGGTTCAATTCCGGTCAAGGGCATGTACCTTGGTTGCAGGCACATCCCCAGTACGTGGTGTGCAGGAAGCAGCTGATCGATGTTTCTCTCTCATCAATGTTTCTAACTCTCTATTCCTCTCCCTTACTCTCTGTGAAAAATCCATAAAATATATCTTTAAAAAACAAACAAGGAATGCTAACAATCATGCTTCATTATATGTCAGGCATTGAGTGTAATGCCAGACTGTCAGAGAATGCCAGGGCATGTGATCACATTCATTAACGCCTCATTCATCAGATAAGGACTCAGGTGTCCGCAGGGATAGAGGGAGGCCCCCAGTTCTCACGGAGAACCAGACAGTGAAAGCAACAGAAGCCCTGGCTCTGGCCCTGCCCACACTCGTCCCACAGCCCTCCCGGCCCTCCATCAAGGAGAACGGGGTCTCTCAGTGGAGACTTGCAGTATTTCACGAAGTGATGAGATAAAGATTCATTGTCAAAGGAATGAAGATAGATAAAGAACAGATAGCTAGATGGATGGATGGATGGATGGACAGACAGACAGGTGTACAAATCTGTACAAGTGACTTCCAGGAGAAGAGAATGAACCTCCTTGACAACATTCAAACCTGTAGGCTTCATCCTGGTTAAGAAAGCAATCTGCCAAGTCACTCTTTTCCTGAAATTCATCATGAGAGTCACCTCCCCTCAGATCAACTCACTGTTATAACTGTCAGGTTTCTTAAAACGGCCACCCAGGAAATATATTAATATACAAAGTATTTCCACCCCCCTCCCCAAAAAATACCTTCCTAGTGAAAGAATTCAATGTCCCTTTGAAATATATAACATCCCCTCACCTTCAGCAACCTCCGAGAGCAGCAGGCCACTTACCAGGCTCCAAGGGCATCTGCATGTGACCATTCATCACCCCATTTGCCACATCTGGGTCCTCCAGAGTGAGAACCGCCGGAGGCTGGAACTCCAGCTCCTCCTGAATCTTTTCTAAGCTGCTCCCCAACTGAGCAGAAGTCACGTGGTTAAAATGCCACTTCACTTTCTGAATGATGCTGTCTGCAACAAGAGAGCACCCCAAGCTGAGCATTTTCTTCACAACGGGTGTTATAAGACAATACGTACAAAGTGAACTTTACATTTCCAATCAGGCTAATGTCAGCCAGACTCTCAAGAGTGTCAAGTTATACACAAAGGTCAAATGATCCCTCCATAGCATGACTAGTCATATCAGTCTCTCCAGAGCAGAGTGATTGAAATTCACCTCAGTGACAAGGGGGTCGGGGGAAGAGGACTTGATTCTTAGCTCAGCCACTTGTGACAGTATAATCCTAACTCACAGAATATTTCTAAGCTTAAAAAATGGGGATGGTCATTCTCGACCTGGTTATCTCAAGAAAAGGCATGTGAGAAAAAAATTACACATGAACGTGAATGTGCTGTGCCAACCAGGATTATATATTTGAAAGGCATTGGTTTTCATTCTTTTATTTATGTTAGCACCGATTTATTGTCAAGTTTTTGGCCCGTGGGCCACAGTTTGCTGACCCCACTTGCCAGGGCTGTGGTGACTGACCCGTACAGTTCTCACCATCCTTTCAGCTGCCCCAAGGCTCTGGAGAGATGACAAGCCAGAGTGTTAAACCTCGAAGTTCCCAGGCCTCTCCCATCCCAGTAAAATCTCAGGATACACGGCTATTCTCCAGTGATATCTTACCACACCTCCAATGACTTTCCTTGAGGGTCAAAGCCAAATCTAAACTACAAATCTACACACGCCATGAGCGAGAACCGTAAATACAAAAGAGGGTTACAAACCAAATTCCAGAAAGGCGTATGGCCTGGAGGCTAGGCCAATGCAGGTGGTGTCATAGGAAGCTGTGAATTCCCACCACAAGGTCTCCAGGAAGCAGAAGGCCATGGCTGCTGGGCACCGGTGGGAACAGATAGCCATGCAGGCCACATCCCCTGAAGAAGAAAAGCTGAAACAAAAGGGCGACATCTACGTTAGCAAGAGAAGACCCATGGACTTCCCCCCACCCCGTCCCCCACACCCAGACACAATCTCGCCTCCACTCTGGACCTGCTGGTTGCATATATGTGTCCTCAGCTAGACCTACCTGGGTCTGTGCCTTTCTTATACTTCCTCTGAAATGTATAGCGGTATCTGCCATTATTCATATCCGAAGGTGCCTGTTCCATTAGAGGGAAGTAGCCTCAGACTTCTCTGCATCTTAGAGGAAAATGATTTTCTTTTTTAATCTACATCAAAAGGTGTTCTAACACTGAATCAGACGGGCATCCTGAAATGACACCCACTCCTTTCAGGCTGTCACGCTATTATTTCAAGTTCTGGGGACTCTACTTCCCCTTTCTGTGTTGCCTCCTGACTCCCACTCATTGCAGGCCTTCTCCTCCAGTGTTTGTCACTTCTGCTGAGGGCTCGTCACTGCGGAGCCTGCTTTCTCCTGGGGGACTCCCTTGAGGCCTGACTTGAGGCTCACTCTTCATGAGGGTCTGCATTTGCCTTGGCCTGATGCTCCCGTGTCATCAGTATGGAACCGACACTGATATTTGAACCGTGGCTTAGGAATTCCTAGCCTGTGGGAAGTATAAAGTATAAGCTCAGCCCTAGCTGGGTTGGTTCAGTGGTTACAGCGTCGGCCTGCAGACTGAAAGGTCCAGGGTTCAATTCCGGTCAAGGGCACATACCAGTTGCAGGCTTAATCCCCAGTCTGGTGGGAGCGCATGTGGGAGGCAACCAATCGATGTGTCTCTCTCACATCAATGTTTCTCTCTGTCTCTTCCCCTCCTTTCTGCTCTCTCTAAAAATCAATGGAAAAATATCCTTGAGTGAGGATTAACAAACAAAACAAAACAAAAAGATATAAACTCAGACTCTAATCTGACACAAGGCACAAGAGCAGGGTTTCGATTTCTTAGGTGAGATTTTATCTTTTCTTCCCATTCAAAGCCAAAGAGAGATGAGTTACCCCTACACTGGTATTTCCCCTACACAGACTATTTCTCCCCTATCATTGCTCTAGGGTTGCACCCTGACAAGAACCCGTCTTTACGCATGGGTCTTATTCCAACTCCTCACTTTACATACGCTCAAAGGCCTCTCCCTTTATGATGCAGAAACTTAACCCTGAGTTCACTATGACTGTTTACCCAGGAGGCTCAGTGCCAACTCACACACTGCCCATGTGGACATTCTGTTCCCCTGCATTTCTGCATTTCTGGCACCTTGGGACTTCTTTCTTTCAAGCTCAGCTACACAT